TATGAAGTTAAACGATGAAAATTTAAAATTACCAGAAAAGGAAAAACTTTGGGGAAATTAAATTTTAAATCAGAGTACAAAAAAAATTTCTGGCCACAAAATAAGGGGAAAACCCCAAAAACGTAAAAAAGCCCTGGGGGGTGATTTTGTCAGAGGACCCTCCCCTTAAAGGACCAAAACCTTTGGGTATAAAACCGCATCTCCCAAAAAAAAAATTTGACAGGAGGGATAATGAAAAACCTTAAAAAAACTAGGGGGGCCAAGGGCCTATAAAGAAAACCCCCTTCGGTCACTTTTCTATCTAGGCTGGAATATTGCTGCACGCAAAACACCCCCCCTTTTCCCAAGGCAGGTGAAATTCCCCCGCCCAAAGAAAATGTACAGAGAACTTTCAGGGCCCCGCCGAAAAAGGGAAAGGATAAAACCCCTCAATTACGGGGGAGGCTTGGGTTTCCCTAAACCTGTTTTCCCCGGGAAAACGCAGGGGGGAAAAGATACATGTTATATAAAAACCGGGAAAAATCCTAGGGGGACTAAAACCGGGAACTTGCACAAACGAAAATCACCCCACAAACAAAGAAAAAGACTTGGAGACGATGCACCACCCCCCCCAATGAAAAAAGGGGTTTTCACTAGCACGTTAAGAGACCAAAACAAAAAAGTTCAGGGGCCCGAAACTGTTCAACTGCCTCCCAGCACACAAAAGGGGGATTCCCAAACAAAACCCCTGGCAGTTTTTCAAGTGGCACTAGAAAAAGAAACCTAAAGTCATTTTCCGATCGGGCCGGGGTTTGTGGCTGTAGTTGGGGGGCGTGCGGCCCAGCAGCAACAGCCTGGTTGATCAGGTCTGACCACCAGGAGGCCTGGTCACAGACCGGGCCCACGGGGGGTTTTTAAACCCCCGGAACCTCTCCGGTAAACTCCGGGTAAACACCAATGCAGCAGTCTGATAATTAAAAATTTTTCTATTTTTTTTTTAAAAAAAAAAATTTAAAAATGGAAAGCAAAAGAATGTAAGGGGGGGCATGGGGATGTGAAAAAAAAATAACAGAGGAAATGTTATTTTAAATGGGCCCGGAATGTCTTTTTTGTTTATTCTGGACCCTATTCGGGAAAATTTTCATCTGTTGAAATTTGTGTGAAATTTGGGAAAAATTTCTAAATTTTTTTACCACGTAAAGGGTAGTTGAAATTGGTAAATGGGTGGGGTTTTTTGCACTCATTCGAAAGAAAAAAAATTTGGGGTTCTACCCAAAATTTTTTAATTTTTCCACTAGTTACAATTCCAAAAATTTTCCAAATTTCAAATCCCATTTTTTAAACAATTCAACCGGCCCTCCCCACAAATAAATTTTCCCCTTTTTTCCTTAAAATTTTAACCTTTTTGCAAACCAATCAAAAGTTTTTTAAAATTTTTTTTCATTTTTTTAAAAACCCCCCTTAATTTTTTTTTTTTAAAATTGGCCAACCCGAGAAATTTCTGGACCCTTTTCGACCCCAAAGGGGGGAAAATAGATGTTGTATGAGGTTTTTTTAAAAATTGTTACAAACCCCCCTTAAAAAATTCATTTTTGCCGTCCCCCGCACCTCCCGGGTTGAAACAATCCCCTATTCTTTTTTCCTTTCCGCAAATTTTAAATCGGACTGACAGTAAACAAAATAAAATTTTTCCCCTTGCACCTAAAGTGAAAATTAAAAAAAAATTTGAAAATTTTAAAAAAATTTTTTTTAACCCCTGGGATTTAAAAAGGAACCCTTTTTGGAAAAAAAAACCCCCCCCCCCCTTTTTTAAAATGGGTTTTTGGCAAGGGTTTAAGAGGGATGCTTTTATATATTTTTTTTTAACACTGGGCCCTTCCCAAAGGGAGGGTGAAACCCCCAAAAAAACTTTTCCCCTCATTCACACTAAACACTGTCTTTTCCCGAGGGCGCGACAAAGGCAGTTCAGATGTCCCTCCCAAACAGTAGCAGTGCTGCTGACAATCATTGACATTAAGGATACTGATACCACATTAATTATAAATTCCTATAATTAGGGCAATCTATACAAACAAAATATAGACATCTGTACAGTGTTATTTTCCAAATAATCTCCATGAATGCAGGTCGGTTTTAAATTATAAATTTCAAACAATACCTTCAACATTTTTTAACGATGAGATTTTCAGGCCTTCAACATATACAATATTACCGACAGAGAAAGATTATGAGGATTTTTTTAGTCTTATCATAAAGATTCAACTGTTTTCCAACTGAAGCCAAAAATACAAATAATTCACACTTAGGAGAGGAAACTTTAAAAGAACTGAACTGATGAATCATCTGAAGCTACCTCATCTAAGTTTGTGTTATTTGTGAATGATTCAGCCATGGTGTTGTGACAACTCTTCAAGGAACCACAACTAACAAATCACTAGCAATGTTCCTAACCTGCTAGTTTTGTAATAAATAAATTCATCCAATGGAAGCTTTATCATTGATTCTGGAGAAAATTACATTTCGTTTATACAAGCACCACTGCATTACGTAAGGTACTGCAGTGCACCTACTACATCAACTAAGTACCCTTCAACACCCATTATTCTATATATCGGTTTGCTGCCTCTTTCCTAACTGCTGCAATACACTTGGCCATTGTTGGTGAAGCCCGAGTAATAGAGTTAGTCATGTAGAAGTCTTCGAGTTTCTTCTGTGGAACATCGATTGGTGTTGTGTCTTGTTTACCGCTCACAAGCTGATGAAACGAAAATGTATTTGTAATTTTACATTGTCTAACAACATAGTAGCTTTAATACATTAATAAAAATATGCTATACAATGTCCATGCCCTTCAAGGGGATGCTTTGATAATGGCAAAGTCCTATCAAGTCAAGGAATGGAGCTATCCTATCATTCCTTGGATCAAACTTGATTACCCTTACCTCTTCCATTCCCCTGGTACCATATGACTGTACTGTGTTTAGTGCTTCCATATGAGTACAATGATAATATATAATGACAACAATGCAGAGGTTCTTCACGTAACTCAAACATAAAAGAATTACTTTGTAAACTGAATCAGTGCATCTGCAATATAATTACATTAACAGAAAGGAGTAAACATACATGGGCCCCACATCCCCTGGGAATGGGAAGGATCGTATTTTATGATGTAAGACACACCGGCATATAGGACTCACCAAGGTCATTTATTGAATATCTCTTGCTTATTTATTACTTTGATAATTGTTGTCTTTGTTAAATGGAATCAGTCATAGATCTCAAGTTGACCCCATGTAGGACACAGGATGATTTTGAGGGTCAGATTAAAAAAAAAAAAAAAAGTGTTATATGCAAAGCAAAAATTGCTGTAAAGTGAATCACACTTTTTTCCATTTTCAAATTTATATAGAAGCCTGTTAACATGTTTACACTATCATATATTAATTAATTGAGCAATGAGTTAGGCCTAAACAAGACATATACAGTAAACATATTACTTAAAATATTTTGGTCTTTAGCTTGTAGTGAGTGGTGAATATATTTACTGTAGGAAGGATGAATAAATGAAGAATGGTTATAACTGTTGTATTACTGAAACGTTGTAAAGTGTTGTAAAAGCAGGGCGTGTCTGTATCATGTTTGATCTGAGGAATGGGAAGGTAGATCCAATCCCTGGATGCAGAGTCCCTCACCAGCATCAAGAAACTTTCCCTTGAAGGGTTATGTCTCTCCATCTTCAACTCTCTTCTATATATTTCTTTTGAAACATATCAAGCGATGACAATGTTCGTCAGGTTAGCAAAACTTTTTTATATTCACAAAGGGCACTCAATCAGTATGGGTCACAAAGAGCCAAAAGACAAATTGGAGCTATTGGCTAAGGGTAATGGTGCAACAGGTAAGCTAAAGAGCCAACAAGGAAAGTGAAAGTTGGTGTAATACATCAATTTCAATTAAAAAAGTCAGGAGTGCATACAAACTCGAAACAATTATCTCTAAAATGAGAGTAGGTATAAAGTTAATAGTGAAGAAGCAGAGGGTCAAGTTGCCAGTACAAGAGGTGACGCCTAGGTTACCTGTGCCAGAGCTGAGGCCTGGGTGAAGTAGTTAGCTTCCTCCACTTCCCCGTAACGTGTTAAATTAGGTGATATTTCTGTCAAGCGCATACGGACGTCATCAAGACAGTCATAAGGGAGCTTTGTGCCAACGATCTGAAATAATAATTTAAGTAGTGTTAAAGTGAATGGGAAGCAGGTAAATAATTATATTTGGATTAAGCATGCCACTCTATTAAATTTCATACTAATTTTTTTTATGATAAAACATTACACTGAAGGACATTTTTTCAAAAGAAAGATAATAATTCAGGCATTTACATTATAATTTCAAGTTAAGACTTTACAAGTACAGTAATCCCTAAAATGGTTACCTTCAAATATTTTAAGAATTACCCAAAACTTTATTAGACAAAATAGTCTAATAAATACATTAATGTAGATCTAATTTTATAATTTCAAGATATCGACTACATTATGTTAAACTTATATAATGTAATAATAATCAAACTGGCATTGAGTTTTCAGCACACGTGGTGACAAATCTGAATTTTTATGATGTACATACAGGGTAGTATTTACAGCAGGTACAATTTCCTCAAAACTATGCTGGATAATTTGTTTATACCTCTGAAAGAGCTCGGATGATCTTCCAGTCTTCCCGAGCCATGCCTGGAGGGACCAAGGCAGCCCTGGTCAACTGGGCTCGGCCCTCGGTATTAACATAGGTAGCTGTCTTTTCAGTGTAGGCAGCCCCAGGGAGTATCACGTCGGCCATTTCTGCTCCGCGGTCTCCATGGTGGCCCTAAATTAAAATTTTCACTCATTATTATTATTAATTTTTTTAACATACTGGCTATCTCCCACCAAGGCAGGGTGACCAAAAAGAGAAAATCTTTCACCATCATTCACATTATCCCTGTCTTGCCAGAGGTGAGCAGATACAACAGTTCAGATATCCCTCCAAACAGCAAACTACTCCTTTAGAGTGCAGGCACTGTATTTTCCACCTCTGGGACTCAAGTCCAGCTAACATTTTTCCCTGAATCCCTTCACAAAATGTTATCTTGCTCACACTCCAACAGCTTGTCAGATCCCAAAAACCATTTGTCTCCACTCCTTACCCCTATTACTATCATTATTATTCATCTTCTTTCAACAAACTGGCCACATCCCACCGAGGCAGGGTGGCCCAAAGAGAAAAAGAAAAGTTTCTCTTTTTACCTTTAGTAACGTATACAGGGGAAGGGGTTACTAGCCCCTTGCTCCTGGCATTTTAGTCGCTTCCTACGACACACATGGCTTACAGAGGAAGAATTCTGTTCCACTTCCTCATGGAGATAAGAGGAAATAAACAAGAACAAGAGTACTACTACTACGTCACTTAGTGACGTACTCATTTACCGACGACTCGGACTTACGACGGGCTCTCTGACTAGTATCCTTACCTAAATAATGTATAGTAGAGCTGATTTTCTCTATTCTGTTTACTACAAAATACAGTAAACTACTGTATAAATATTTAAAATATTTAAAACCGAGGTTTGACTGTACTGTAATGGAGGTACAGTATAGGGGACAGTTTGATCCCTGTTACTGAACTGCACATTAAAGCAAGTCTTTCAGGGCACCATCTCTTCCATAACAGGTAGTAGTAGCAGCAGCAGCAGCAGCAGCTGTGATACTGGCCGAACACTGCCCATGTACGTCACTCAGCACTCACACAATAGAAGACTAATTACTGTACATACATCATACATCGGTGGGGGGAAATAAATGGGATTAAATCTGGAGTATCTGAGAGAGTTAGAGCAAAGGAAGGGGTAGCAGTAATGTTGAAGGATCAGTTATGGAAGGAGAAAAGAGAATATGAATTGTGTAAATTCAAGAATTGTGTGGATTAAAGTAAAGGTTGGATGCGAAAAGTGGGTCATAATAAGCGTGTATGCACCTGGAGAAGAGAGAAATGTAGAGGAGAGAGAGAGATTTTGGGAGATGTTAAGTGAATGTATAGGAGCCTTTGAACCAAGGAGAGTAATTGTGGTAGGGGCCTGAATGCTAAAGTAGGAGAAACTTTTAGAGAGGGTGTGGTAGGTAAGTTTGGGGTGCAAAGTGTAAATGAAAATGGAAGCCCTTTGATTGAATTTTGTATAAAAAAGGGGTTTAGTTATAGGTTAATACATATTTTAAGAAAAAGAGGATAAATAGTTTTACAAAATTGATGTGGGGGAAATGACAGTAGTTTGTTGGATTATGATTGGTAGATAAAAGACTATTGAGTAGACTTCAGGATGTACTGTTTATAGAGGGGCCACAGATATATCAGATCACTTTCTAGTTGTGGCTACACTGAGAGTAAAGGTAGATGGGATAAAAGGAGAATAGAAGCATCAGGGAAGAGAGAGGTGAAGGTTTATAAAACTAAAAGAGGAGGCAGTTAGGGGGAAGATAAAACGCTATTGGAGGATAAAATGGGCTAATGAGAGCATAGGCAATGGGGTCGAAGAGGTATGGGGTAGGTTTAAAAAATGTAGTGTTAGAGTGTTCAGCAGAAGTTTGTGGTTACAGGAAAGTGGGTTGCAGGAAGGAAGAGGAGCGATTGGTGGAATGATGATGTAAAGAGAGTAGTAAGGGAGAAAAAGTTAGCATATGAGAAGTTTTTACAAAGTAGAAGTGATGCAAGGAGGGAAGAGTATATGGAGAGAGTGGTGAAGAAATGTAAAAAGAGAGCAATGAGAGAGTGGTGGGGATGTTATCAACAAATTTTGTTGAAATAGGAAAAAAGTTTTGGAGTGAGATTAACAAGTTGAGGAAGCCTAGAGAACAAATGGATTTGTCAGTTAAAAAAGGAGAGGGAGTTATTAAATGGAGAGTTAGAGGTATTGGGAAGATGGAGGGAATATTTTGAGGAATTGTTAAATGTTGATGAAGATAGGGAAGCTGTGATTTCGTGTATAGGGCAAGGAGGAATAACATCTTGTAGGAGTGAGGAAGAGGGCCCGTTGTGAGTGGGGGGGAAGTTCGTGAGGCAGTAGTTTAAAAATAAAGGGGGTAAGGGAGCCGGGATAGATGGGATAAAGATAGAAATGTTAAAAGGAGGTGGGGATACAGTTTTGGAGTGGTTGGTGCAAAATTTTTTAATAAATGTATGGAAGAGGGTTTTAAAGGTACCTAGGGAATGGGAGAGAGCATGCATAGTTTTCCTTTGTATAAAGGGAAAGGGGACAAAAGAGAGTGGGAAAAATTATAGGGGGATAAGTCTGTTTAGTATGCGTGTCGTATGAGGCGACTAAAATGCGGGAGCAATGGGCTAGTAACCCCTTCTCCTGTATACAATTACTAAAAAAAAGAAGAAGAAAAACTTTATAAAACTGGGTTGCTTAAATGTGCGTGGATGTAGTGCGGATGACAAGAAACAGATGATTGCTGATGTTATGAATGAAAGAAGTTGGATGTCCTGGCCTAAGCGAAACAAAGCTTTAAGGGGGTAGGGAGTTTCAGTGGGGGGAAATAAATGGGATTAAATCTGGAGTATCTGAGAGAGTTAGAGCCCAAAAGGAAGGGGTAGCAGTAATGTTTTAAATGATCAGTTTGGAAGGAGAAAAGGAATATGAAAGTGTAAATTCAAGAATTATGTGGATTAAAGTAAAGGTTGGATGCGAGAAGTGGGTCTAATAAGCGTATATGCACCCGGGGAAGAGAGGAATGCAGAGGAGAGAGAGAGATTTTGGGGGTGTTAAGTGAATGTATAGGAGCCTTTGAACCAAGTGAGAGAGTAATTGTGGTAGGGGACTTGAATGTAAAGTAGGAGAAACTTTTTGAGAGGGTGTGGTAGGTTAAGTTTGGGGTGCCAGGTGTAAATGATAATGGGAGCCTTTGATTGAACTTTGTATAGAAAGGGGTTTAGTTATAGGTAATACATATTTTAAGAAAAAGAGGATAAATAAGTATACACGATATGATGTAGGGCGAAATGACAGTAGTTTGTTGGATTATGTATTGGTAGATAAAAGATGTTGAGTAGACTTCAGGATGTACATGGGTTTTTAGAGGGGCCACAGATATATCAGATCACTTTCTAGTTGTGCTACACTGAGAGAAAAAAGGGAGATGGGATACAAGGAGAATAGAAGCTCAGGGAAGAGAGAGGGTAAGGTTTATAAACTAAAAGAGGAGGCAGTTAGGGTAATATAAACAGCTATTGGAGGATAGATGGGCTAATGAGAGGGATAGGCAATGGGGTCGAAGAGGTATGGGGTAGGTTTTAAAAATGTTTGTGTTAGAGTGTTCAGCAGAAGTTTGTGGTTACAGGAAAGTGGGTGCAGGAGGGAAGAGGAGCGATTGGTGGAATGATGATGTAAAGAGAGTAGTAAGGGGAGAAAAAGTTAGCATATGAGAAGTTTTTACAAAGTAGAAGTGATGCAAGGAGGAAGAGTATATGGAGAAAAAGAGAGAAGTTAAGAGAGTGGTGAAGCAATGTAAAAAGAGAGCAAATGAGAGAGTGGGTGAGATGTTATCAACAAATTTTGTTGAAAATAAGAAAAAGTTTTGGAGTGAGATTAACAAGTTAAGAAAGCTAGAGAACAAATGGATTTGTCAGTTAAAAATAGGAGAGGAGAGTTATTAAATGGAGAGGTAGAGGTATTGGGAAGATGGAAGGAATATTTTGAGGAATTGTTAATGTTGATGAAGATAGGGAAGCTGTGATTTCGTGTATAGGGCAAGGAGGAATAACATCTTGTAGGAGTGAGGAAGAGCAGTTGTGAGTGTGGGGGAAGTTCGTGAGGCAGTAGGTAAAATGAAAGGGGGTAAGGCAGCCGGGATTGATGGGATAAAGATAGAAATGTTAAAAGCAGGTGGGGATATAGTTTTGGAGTGGTTGGTGCAATTATTTAATAAATGTATGGAAGAGGGTAAGGTACCTAGGGATTGGCAGAGAGCATGCATAGTTCCTTTGTATAAAGGCAAAGGGGATAAAAGAGAGTGCAAAAATTATAGGGGGATAAGTCTGTTGAGTGTACCTGGTAAAGTGTATGGTAGAGTTATAATTGAAAGAATTAAGAGTAAGACGGAGAATAGGATAGCAGATGAACAAGGAGGCTTTAGGAAAGGTAGGGGGTGTGTGGACCAGGTGTTTACAGTGAAACATATAAGTGAACAGTATTTAGATAAGGCTAAAGAGGTCTTTGTGGCATTTATGGATTTGAAAAAGGCATATGAAGGAGGGATAGGGGGGAAATGGGCAGAGTTCAAGTAAAAGGTGAAAGGTGGTTTTACTGAAAGCAGTGAAGAGTTTTTACAAAGGGATAGTGGGGGTAAAGTTAGATACAAGGAAAGAGGGAAATTATTTCCAGTAAAAGTAGCCTTAAAACAAGGATTGTGATGCCACCAGGGTTTTTAATATTTTATAGAGGGGGGTTTAAGAGAATAAATGCAAGGGTCTTGGCAAGAGGCAGGATTTTAAAAGATAAGAATCCACATAAAGGGGGAGTTGTCACAGTTGCTCTTGGCTGATGACAGTGCTCTTGGGGAGTTTCTGAAGAGAATTGCAGAGATTGGTGGTGAATTTGGTAGGTATGCAAAGAAGAAATTAAAAGTGAATACGGGAAAGAAAGGTATGAGGATAACAAAAAGATTAGGTGAAAAAAAGATTGGATTCAGTTGGAGAGAGAGATTTTGGAGGAGGTGAATGTATCAGATACATTGTTTTTGGGGGAGGGGAAGTTCGCGGAGGGGTCTATAAAGATGAGGTGAATCATAAAAATTTGAAGGGGAAAAGGGTGAGTGGGCACTTAGGAGTCTGTG